CCTTTACAACAGGTATCTTGGATGTGGCACCTAAAACATGAATTGAATTTGAAAATGCAACAAAAGAGCTAAATATGATAACATATCAGTAATATATTACGAGTGCCATATCAATATCGTGATATGGTAGTGCAGAGTCACTGCTGTAATGCATCTTTACAAGGAAACAGATTAACTTCTCCTACGCTGAACCTCACTGGGGTGCAGTGTGTCAAAAAAAAAAAGAAAAGAAAAGAAAAAAACACTACAGTTATTTTGTTTACCCAAAACAAATTCAGGGAAAAGGTGCCACTCCAGAGCACTCTGATGAAGGTTTTGAAAACTTGACTTATCAAAAGTTTCGTCAGTCAAATAGTTGCGACTAAAATTAACTAAAATGATCAAGACATGAGTTGATTCTTTTTTATTTTGAGTGCACCTGAGTGCTGCGCTTGTCTTGTATTTGATTTGGGAAAACAAACACATGGCTATAATTGATTTTGAAAAAAAAATTCTACAGCAGAAGTATAAAGGTTTTGGTAATACACTTCAGCGAGAACATTCGCTGTGGTCATGGACTCTCTGTATTCTGCTTCTGAAGATGTTTTTTGGGTGACACCTGTGCTGGTTGACATGTTTTGTTTTTTTTTCATTAGATAATATATTTATATGAAAGTTAGCTGGTCGATCAGTGATATTTCACTCTAGATGGCACGACATCAACAATGTTGAAGTGAGACGGTGTTACCGAGCACAGCACTAGATGCCATTCACGTGAAAAGTTCAGTACTTATTTGCTTATTTTTTATTTTTGTGCTAATGTTATGATAGTATATAACTACATTTACACTTCAGTGTGTGCCCTGTGCTTGGTGAGCTCCGCTGCCCTTTTAGCACAGAGGGTGTCATGAGCTACAGGTTGTAGGTGACAATTAAAGATCTGTTTGCACCCATTGAAGTTGCCGTTTCAGTGTGAGAAAGATCACTTCATCACTGGCATTTTCTTTGCACTGGCACAAAATTAGGCCAGTTTAGAGTGTTCTTCTCTACTACATAGGCCAGTTGCTGGGTAAAGCTAAAAGTAATCCTTTCTATGTGGTCATATAACACGTTTTGGTCTGTGATTCACACCTGGGAATTGTCCAGCGTAATGACACTCCTCTGCTGTTGGCTCCTGCAGCTCCACTGGAGTGTTAACTGCCTTGCTAAAGGGCACAGCAGTTCATGGAGAGGCGCGGGTGTCTCGGTGACCTTCCCGATCCTGACGTGCCAATGTGGCGAATCTGGGGCTTCACATTTAAAACATGTGAGGTGTTTTATCAACAGAGTGGGTGCGGGTAACTGAATTATGTCAGGAAGTAGATAGTTAGCAATCTGTCATGATTTAACTGGCAAATGATATGCTCGGTAGCAGAAGGCTTTTACCACACACAGACACACACAGATGCTTGCACACACACGGCACTGTCAGAGTTCATAGCAATTAGCTTTGGGGTTTCCTTGTAAAAGAGGACTTGTACACACACTCTGTCATTAGTTAATGGGCCTTGCAGCATGTTACCAGGGCTTACTCTCCCTCCCTTCTGCTCCCAGAGGGGCCGAGGTGAGGTGAGAATGAGCCGGGGTTTCTGGTATCAGTCAGCCATACAGCATTAAATACAGCCTCAGTGAGGAGGGCCCATATGTCTCTGGGCATTACTCAATTAAAGGCAGCAGCTTCTAAGAAATTGAGCTGTTCAAGGAGAGTTTAGGAGAGTTCCTAAAATCAGCTTAAAGTATGTTCTGCTCTCTGCTGGTGGAGGGCAGAGCAGACCACTGGTTAGGGAGAGGTCTCTGTGTCAAGCCGTATTTCAGAGAATCCAATGAAAGTACCTCAACACAACAGATTCGGGCTATAAAGCTTGACTGTTATTGTAGTCTGTAGATATTAGTCACCCTGAGCAGTAACTGTGTTTTTAGCCATGTGTTTAAAGAGGTAGTTTGATTTGGGTGGATGTTTAAATTCTTCTTCTTCTTACGCAGCCTCGGCTTGCAGTTCAAAGGTAAGAGTGGTGAGATTAGCCTACATAAAGTCAATTACTGGATTTCTACGGGATCAACAGCAGCTTTTCTCAAAAGTAGGGAGATGCACTTTTAAACGTCTCCAGAGAGGGATGGCTTTGTCTGAGTAAACTATGGTGTAATTTCCATATTTAGAAAAACACAAATGTTGTGATTAACAAAGAAAAAAAAACGCAACACATAACTTGCAGCTGACTCCTTTTTACAGGCTCCTACAGGCAGAAACAGTTGTTTCAAACTATAATGTTATTATTGGGATTTTATATGTACTCAGGAAGAGAAAAGAATGTCATACTAGACTAACAACTTCAAACTCGGTGCTGGAGAACGCACCCTCGGGCAACACTGCCACATACTGCAGCTACAATCTCTCTACTTCCCTACTCATGTCCTCACATTCATCCATCTTTTTTTATAACTGTAAACTGTCATGTCAACACAATATCAGCATAGCACTGACAAGCTGCAGAGCTGTTACTTGATCCTCTAGATATCCAGTGTTTGGGCAAAGCTGGGCTAAAATCACTATTTAACATTCAAACTGCATGCAGAGACATAAGAAAAACATCCCTGAATTCACCCCGCTCTGTGTGAGGAGAAGAACTTGTATTATTTCCCAAAAAACTGAACTGATCTCTTTGATCTGGCCTGTTGAGAATTTGCTCATCGTGAAGTAAAGTTATCATTTTATGATGCTGTAAATCAATCTTGGAATAGAAACTCGCAGGGTTTGGCTCATAGTGATTCAGCTCACCATCATGTATCATGGATCTTTTTACTCTCTGCATAGTTCTAACAAGCGTCGTGGAGCTTTTCCATGACTGTGGAAGCCGCTAATGTAAAAACCGTGTTGAGGGAATAAGGTTTTTAGCGTAGAGCCTTTGACCTCGGCTTGTCTCCACCAGGTAGCTGTTAGAGGCTTCAGCAGAAAGTGTATGATTACACTGCAAGACTTTAGTGTGAATGACAAAGGAATAAATGGAAGATGAAAGAGGTGAAACAAGAGAGGCGTTACAAGACTAGAGACAGAGCCTTTGCATTCTTCTGTTTTTGTTGGCTGGATTCCATTACTGAAGTTAGCAAAACATTAATAATAGTTTAGACAGATGGATCAGAATAGTATTAAAGTTTTCAACAGGAAAAAAAAGAAAAGCTGAGAGGAATGTGGGTGTGTACAGTATGTTAGAAGGGTATTTATACAGACCAAAGAGATGAAGTGAGAGGAGTATAGTAGCGTAGTTGCGGGTGTGTGATGGTGTTGGCAGGGGGTGAAAACAAGGTCATGCGCACTGTACTAAGCTTGCTAAATATGCACGATGCCCAGAGCGGAACCTCGCTCTATTATGAATGACTTCTGGCCTTGGCAGTGTGTTAGATTCGTCGGCTTATGGCCACACTGATACGATAAGTCACCACCGCTCTCTTTTCTCCCCTGCCTCTCTACGTCTCTCTCCCTCTCGGAGTGACTCCAGCCCTTGTGCTGATCTTTAGGTCTAAATAGTGGGTTGCCAGTTGAAGAGACAGTCCCTCTGTGTGGAGGTGGTGATTTAGTGGGGAGATAAGCTCTCTGTAATGGCAGGGTGGAATAATTCCTCTTTAACTAGGAGGCTTGGCTCTCTCCACCCTCCAGAAGAAAATGTTACCACTCCTCTGCTTTGTTCATTCCTTTCCTTTCTTTTTTTCTTCCCCTCTCTCCTCTTCTTTTTTTGCTTGTTTTGTAAATAGTCACTTCTGAGATGAGATATCGTCATTCAGAAAACATAATACATTATCAGCCCCAGCAATAAGGATGTGATATAATGTACAGGTTACGGATGGCATGATTCACTGTACAGTGCTAAAAATGCTTCATTTTACCATTTCCAACCATGTTTTTATTTTCTTTTGATTTACAAGGCAATTTACAAGCTAGACATTTGTTGTTTGCGGCCTTGTAAATCCTCACAATGCAATGCCACTTCACTTTCACCGACAGTTCAAACCTCAGACACAAGTTTTCTTCAGGGCACCGACATTTTTCAAACACTCTACATCTTGAAACCCCGAACTTGGTAAGAGCACTTCCTAAAAGCTGGTGTATCTGGGTCTACAAAGCTAAAAATAGCATCTTAAATTATTTAATTAAGTACTGAACAGTGTAACCTTCCTTTTTTTAAATTGAAGCTTGACTAAACAACTTTGTACAATCAAGAGGCAGTGTGTTTAAATAACCCACACAACTCTGATTGACTGAAGAAAGACAAGTTGATTGGCACCATGGGGGAAAAAAAAATGAAATTGGTACATCATTAGCACAATAAAAAAAAATATCTGAACTCTTGTCTTTATTAAGGTGGATGAGAAGGCTGCACAGTCCTTTGAGATATGAGAGGACATGGAAAGTGTGGAGACAAATAAAGTGATGGTGATGAGTGGAGGAAGTGAAGGAGAGTAATGATACGACAGTTTCTTACTTCCTACATAGATCATTATCGGTAACACCAGTCGTTATGTCTCTGTCTGCCTCTCACGCTTCATTTCAGCCTTTCCCTTTCTGCGGCAGAAAAACTGGTAGATTTCACTTCATATTTTTACACTCCAGGTAGAGATGGTGTGATTGGAACTGTTGTGAAATCCACACAGCCAAATAATCAATGTAGGTTTATTGAGTTCGGCTGCCCCCTGGAGGCTAAAGCAGTAACTTCAGGCTAAATGGACGCAAGAAATTCAGTGTACTGCACCGGTTAGACCCCTGACAGGGTAACTCTATTCATTAGAGGCTCACGTTTAAAAGTGTGTTATAAGTGACTTAATTTGCACATTGAACTTTAAACATGCATTCAGTGTGCCATAGATGCACAGTGCAGCCCCGTGCTCATGCAGGCAAACGTGTGTGTGTTTGTGTGTGTGTGCGTGTGTGCGTCACCGCTGAGAAGAGACTAACGCGAGTGCATATGTGTGTGTGTCTGTTTTCCTTGCAGCCCTGCTGTCGTCGTGGTGCGAGGAGCTGGGTCGTCTCCTCCTGCTGCGTCACCAGAAGAACAGGCAGAACGAACCGCAGGGAAAAGTCCCCATGCAGCCCAGCATGAGCAGCATGAAGCCCGGCCTCACACACAGGTCAGCAGGGAGTCTCTGAGACATCTCCCGTCACTTGAATCAAGACTGCGCTTATCTCACAGTGAACCCGTTTTCTCAGTTCAGCTCAAGGTTACAGTTTTACCATATGTTACCAATGAGATTAAGCTTTTTTTTCCTGGAGTCAAAAAGCAGTGTAAAAGTGTAAATGGAGGAGTATCAGGGGCAAAAAAAAAAAAAGTGTACTGCATAAAATCAGTGTCGGCTGTTAATCGGTTGATATGACTCACTTATATTTCAATAAATTAGGTTAATATTGCAGTTTCTACTGATTTGCTTCTAGTTATTCCCCTTTGATTGTAATACAAATAAGATACATCCCATACTTTTAATTTAAATAGTTGTACTTCAGATATTTTTATTAGACTTTGATAACAGTGCAACCACAGAGTAGATTATCAAGGCTAGTTTTTCTCTGGTCAGTTTTTCGGCCATCATTTGCAATCTTTTTCTTTTGGACTGCAACAAATTGCAACCTCAAAAACGACCAGGTGTTATTCTTTTTCTTTATTCTTCCATCCATCTCAAATGTTACATTCCAGAAATGTAAACACAAGAAAGAAATAAAGAGACATTGTTACAATTAATGATTTTAAATCATTTATGGCAGACAAAAGTGGCAAAACTGACAAACTGGTACCTTATATTCCCAGAGCGTTTTTAAGGTGGAATTTGATGCGTTTTCCCTGGAGTTTTAGATGATACATTCTCCCAAACTGCAGCAAATTAATTAACCAAAGCTAACCGAGGCTCACTTAGTTAAGGTGCAATAGTGTGTCCATCTTAATTGTGGGATTATCTTGAATTTGGAGCTTATGTAATGCACATGCTAAGAAACAGAGGATTTCCATTGTTTAGAGAAGAGCCAGAATTACTTTTAAGTGGAGGTGATTTTGGGGTGGAGGGACAAGCCAACAGGGAAGTGAGCTGTGAAGTAATGTTTTTGGAGAACATTTTGTGCTCATGCCTCTCTCAAAGAAGAAGGAGAAATAGAAAGCATAGAGTTAGCCAAGAGTCCTGTTTGCCTCTGCTGAGGATCTTGGGATAATGTTGTGCCTTTATGAGGAAATATTGAGCGTGTCATCCATTCCAAGAGCTAACCTCTGAACGAAAACAAGCTGCTCTCCAAAAACAGCAGTTCCTTCCCACTCCACTGGCCACTTGCCTCTCCCCATGAGGATTTAGCTTGTTTATTATATGTTACAGACTCTCATATTTTTCCCTGATTTGTTTTAAATCTGAATGCTAAACATTCCAACTGCACGCTACCTCTCCACATCCAAAGATTTTTCCACAAAGAAATAATTTAATCATATTTAGCTTATACTGGTGTGTGTGGACATGCAACTCCTTATCAGCTCATTTGGAGCTTTTTACTCATCTCGCTGTGCAGCCATTAGCAGACATCCTGGCTGAAAACATGTTTTGAAATTGAACGCCAAACATTTCAAATTGCCTAACATTTTGGCAAGAAGAATTCCCAAATTATTCTCGTTTTTGGATGGATATGCACCTCTGCTGGCTTTCTACTGACTCTTTTCCTGGCCAGTTGAAACTTCATGTGACATCAGGCGCATGTTTGTGTTTTGATCTACTTTCCAGTGATGGATCCTTTCCCTATGACTCTGTCCCCTGGCAACAAAACACCAACCAGCCCCCTGGGTCATTGTCTGTGGTTACAACAGTGTGGGGCGTGACCAATACGTCACAGAGTCAGGTATGTCTGTGCATGAACAGCGTCCAGTCTGTAATTGTATAACACACAATCAGCGCCTGACTCAGAAGCTTTGTCTGTTTTTTTTTTTTTGTTTTTTTTTGTTTAACAAACCTAATGGATAGTTTATCTTCCTGTGTGATGCTTTGTTAAATCCAGGTGCTGGGTAACCCAATGGCAAACAGCAATAACCCCATGAATCCTGGGGGTAACCCCATGGGATCAGGTATGTCTGCCAGCGCAGCAGGGCTCAACTCACCTCAGTTCAGTGCTCAGCAGCAACAGTTCCCAAACAAAGGAGGCTCCAACCAACCATACATGCAGCAGGGCATGTACGGCAGGCCTGGCTACCCTGGAGGTCCTGGGGGATACAGCGGAAGGTAAGAGACTGAAAATGAGTTCCCTTTTTAAAAAAATCAAGCAATAGAATTTAACATAATAATTAAAACATCCGATTTGTTTTTTTGACAGTTATTCTGGAGGCCCAAACGCCCCTCCAGGAGGTATGGGAATGGCCTCCCACACACGTCCTCCTGGTGACTTCACACAGCCAGCTGCCGCTGCTGCAGCAGCTGCTGTTGCTGCTGCTGCTGCTACGGCAACAGCCACGGCAACGGCCACGGTAGCAGCTCTGCAGGAAACCCAGAATAAAGATATGAACCAGTATGGACAGGTATGATACACACCTGGTAACATGTTTACAGGTGCACCCACTTACCAGAATAGATTGTAAAATACTAATGCACACAGGAAGCTATTATCCAACCACCTGTTGGAGACCCACAGTAATTATATTAAATGCTGAAACCTTCTGTTTTGTCTCCAGATGTGTTCATCGTTTCAAATGGGCCCCGCTCAGGCCTACAATAGCCAGTTCATGAACCAGCCAGGCCCGCGAGGCCCCCCTGGAGGTATGAATCCAGCCAGCATGGGATCAGCCATGAGCAACCCTAATATGAGCGGGCCTCCCATGGGCATGAACCAGACTCGCACCCCAGGCATGGGGCCTTTCGGTGGTCACGGCCAAAGGATGCCCCAGCAGGGGTATCCTGGAGGACCTCGACAGGGCATGCCCATGCAGGGGATGAAGAGGCCGTATCCTGGGGAGGTGAGTGGAAAGATCATTGTGGAGATTATGTGTCTTATAGCACCTCCAACATGTGTTTAACTTCTTTTCCTTTAACTTTCACCTTCTAGGCAAGTTACGGGGGACAGCAGTACGGGCCAAGCAGTCAGTTCCCACCACAGCAGGGGCAGTACCCCACATCAAATGCCTCCAGGCCGCTGCCCTCTCCTAACTACCCCGGCCAGAGGATGCCAGGGCAGCAGGGCCAGGGACAATACCCTCCTGGCATGCCCATGGGCCAGTATTATAAGGTGTGTGACATTATTCCATTTATCCATCTGTCCATTTTCTACAACCTCTTCCTACTCAGGGACATTTTATAGCACATTTTGGCACAAACAGTATCTGCTTTGTGCTATAAAAACTATATCAAATTGTTATTGCTTCTTATTTCCTTAACAGCAAGAGCCCTTCAATGGTCAGAGCACCAACTTCTCTGGAGGTGGATACTCCTACGGTCAAGGAAATGGGGTATGTTTTCACTTCCTATCCAAAAAAAGAAAAGTTCCGTTTGTTAAATGTAGCATGCCAAGACATTTGTATTAGATTTGAGTCAGTCATGTATGTGAAATGAATTATGCAGATGTTTTCATTATTGCTCTTTTCCTGCCTTTTACAGCCCCCCAGGCCCGGTAACTACCCCCACTCCCCGGTCCCTGGAAACCCCACACCGCCTATGACCCCAGGAAGTAGTATTCCTCCGTACCTGTCGCCAAACCAGGATGTGAAACCCCCGTTTCCACCCGATATGAAACCAAATATGACAGCACTTCCGCCCCCTCCGAGTGAGTACCCCACAGCAGTCCTTAAACAACTGGTTCATTTGAGGCATCTGTTTGCTTTTATCCTTGTGCCTCTTTTATTCCATCTGTCACACTGCGGGACTTTACCAGAGTTAGATTCAAAGTTGAACTCCCCTGTTTCCTTTCCGTCTCTGCCAGATAACCCCAACGAGGAGCTGCGGCTGACGTTCCCAGTCAGGGATGGAGTCGTGCTGGAGCCATTCCGCTTGGAGCACAACCTGGCTGTCAGCAACCACGTCTTCCACCTTCGACCCTCCGTCCACCAGACCCTCATGTGGAGGCAAGAACCACCACACGCTTCCATTACATCTGCACATTTGCTCTCATTAGTGCACAGTCTGTACAACAATCTCATGTTTCACTAAAGCAGCTCTCTGTACGTTTGGTAATTCAAGCCAATTATAATATCAAATATTGTTCCAACTTACAGCACAGAATCCTCTTTAAAAATGAACTTGTATCTAATAATTGCAATAGTTGCTATAATACTTAATAATTATTATATGTCTGCATTTGTGTGGTTGTTTCAGGGAAATGAATAATGAAGAGACATGTGTTGTTCCGATAATGTGTTCAAGTTCTGTCTATGGTTTAATTAAGTAGTTTGATTTGACTCCACACAAATGTGATGGACGTCACATAACGAGCATGAAATGTATCCCTGATTATGAATCTTTTAGCTGTAGCTCTTTCAATTCTTTCACATGCATAGAGGAGTGTTCTGACTGGATGTTACAGACATGCCATCTCTTTTGATATATCAATTCAACATACATATTAAATTACACATCTTTCATGTCAGCCCCCCCCCCCCCCCCCCCCCTCCCCCCTCCAGTCATGCACATATATTGTTGCAGTAACAGATTGTTCTAATCTAGCTAAATGTGTTTTTCTGAATATTACCGCTGACTGCCGACTCTCTGGTCTTGTTACTCCTTCAGGTCAGACCTTGAGCTGCAGTTTAAGTGCTACCACCACGAGGACAGGCAGATGAACACCAACTGGCCCGCTTCCGTCCAGGTCAGCGTCAACGCCACGCCCCTCACCATTGAGAGGGGAGACAACAAAACCTCCCACAAACCCCTGCACCTTAAGCACGTATGCCAACCTGGGAGAAACACCATCCAGATCACCGTCACCGCCTGCTGTTGTGTGAGTACCCAGTATAAACGACAGTGTACAACCTCAACAAAATCATCAGCTGGGATCTTTTTCACAGAAATGACTGAACGCTGTACACTGTATGCCTGTACATAGACTTGATGTTCAGCTGTCTGTGTTAACTCTGTTTGTTTTCATGTTCTTGTGTTGCTTTGCAGTCCCACCTGTTTGTGCTGCAGCTGGTCCACAGGCCATCTGTGCGATCCGTCCTCCAGGGGCTCCTGAAGAAGAGACTCCTTCCTGCAGAACACTGCATCACCAAGAGTATGGCTCATTCTGTCTCTTAGCGTAGTTAATATGCATAAGTACATCTTAATTACGCGGGCGCACACCTGTTCCTCTTTACGTTTCGCTTTGAAATATATCATGTAAGTACACCTGCGATCTCATCACCTTCCGTCTCAAACACTTTCTCTTCTCAGTTAAAAGGAACTTCAGCAGCGTGGCGGCGTCAGCAGGCAACACCACTCTTAACGGCGAAGACGGCGTGGAGCAGACGGCCATTAAAGTGTCGCTGAAATGTCCCATTACCTTCCGACGCATCCAGCTACCTGCACGAGGGCATGACTGCAAACATGTCCAGGTTTGTTCAGATTTAAAGAGGCGGTAAATGTTTAGTAACGGAAAGAAATCTTTTGAAAAAAACTGTCCTGTGAAAGGGAGAAGACGATTCTAATGAGCGTTTTTGATGTTGTTCTTCACAGTGTTTTGATCTGGAGTCCTACTTACAGCTTAACTGTGAGAGGGGGACATGGAGGTGTCCTGTGTGCAAGTAAGTGAAAAGTGTTTTTTTTTAAGAGGATATAAAGATGGGATGACTAATAAAGAATTCCTCTCATAGATTATATCTATCTTTTTTCTCCTTTCAGTAAAACAGCATTATTAGAAGGTCTGGAGGTGGACCAGTACATGTGGGGAATCCTCAATGCCATCCAAAAGTAAGCTTCTTCTATTTCACCAGCTAAAAGTTTGAGTCCATTATTTCAAAACTTAACCAAGACATTCTGCTTTCTCCTCCGACAGCTCAGAGTTCGAGGAGGTCACTATAGACCCAACATGTAGCTGGCGACCTGTCCCCATTAAATCTGAGCTACACATCAAAGAGGACCCTGACGGACCGCTGGCCAAACGCTTTAAGACCATGAGCCCCAGTCAGATGACCATGCCCAATGTGATGGAGATGATCGCCCAGCTAGGGCCCGGTCCTGGCCCAGGACCTGGACCTGGCCCCGGTCCAGGTCCCAGCCCCTACCCTCCACACCCTGGTCAACATACTAGTGGCAACGGGGGAGATTATCCAGGGGCAGGTAAAAAAAAAAACAAAAAACAAAGCAGCCAGCATCCTGCTGTGTAAATGAATAACAGGATAGTCAGCTCATTTGTTGGAAAAGTGAGCTGTTTTGCATTTTACAACAGAAACCACTGATGTGTCTCTAGTGCATTAAACAAAGAAACAGCCTAAAGGAGATTTTTATGCCGAACCTGTTTTAAAATGTTGTCAGCTCATTGCTCTGATAAAAGTTTCATAACAGCCAAAAAGTGGAACTTGTGTATCCTGTTATGCAACTACTTTGAAAAGGTAACTTTCTCCAACAGCAAGAATTTATCAAAAAAGTCAGCCAGGCCAAACTTTTGACAAAAAGCGTTTGTTCTTTTGTTCCTCAAGGCAACAGTTACCACAGCCAAGGAAACTTTGACTTCCCTCACGGGAACCCCTCTGGTGGTGGAGTTGGAGGAGGTGGTGGTGGTGGAGGTCCCCCTATGAATGACTTCATCCATGGCCCCCAGCTCTCTCATCCCCCAGATGGACCCGGTGGTCTCCTCTCCCAGGACAAGCCCCTGACCCACGGCATGAATGATGCAGTAAGTAGGGTCGACTTCCAGCGCCGCTTGCTTTCCCATGCCATTGTACCGATGAAGTATGTTTATGGGGACAGTATATCACTATACAGTCTAGTTGGTTTGAATTAGGATTATGTTTGGTCTGACTTTTAAATTTGATATATCTTATTTATCTGATGCTAGGTTATTTTGTCCTGTAGCATAATTTGTTACCTCAGTTTGTAGAAGAAAATCTCCAGACAGTCTGTGCCATACTGAAAAAAGAGACTCAGATTTGTTATGTGAACAAGGTGCAGCCTGTGCCTGTAGCCAGCATGTGTGCTCAGTCATGCTCACATGCTCATGTCACCGTATAATGTTGCAGCTGCACATGTCTGCTGATCACAGCTTCCATTTAGAAGGCCTGTTCCATATTATTCACGCTGGAACTCATTTCGCTTTTCCTCTCCTTCTTCCCATGCAACACACCCAAACACACACATACCTATCCCGCATCACACCTTTAACACTCTCTCCTTCACTCTCTATTCCTCTCTCACTATTTCTTCTTCCTTATTTTTCACTCTCCATCTCTCTCGCTCTCTGTCCTCTCGCACCTGCAGATGTCCCATCCCGATCAGTCCCATAACTCCATGCAGCAGAGCTTGCATGCGTCTCCCCACCCTGGCAGCCAAACAGGGCCGCCCTTACATCACAGTGG